GGCCCAGCCACTCAGCAGATACCCTTCCCGTGAGGGTAGCCCCGACGGGCTGACCTCCCCAGAGAATGTAGGCTCCGGGGTGGACGGCCTGGGTTTGCATCCTGGCCCCACGGCAGAGCTGACCTGCTGAATGAAAGGTCTTCCGGCCAGTTCGGAGGGGTTGGCACAGTGTCTGTAAAACGCTGGGCATGGCATGAGCACTCGGCGAGTATTCGCCATTCAGGTCCTGTGCCCAGGCAAGTCCTGTGCTGCTTGAAACGACGAGGAGTCCCTGACCAGGTCCTCCTCACCTCAATGGCTCCATCAACCCTTCCGTCACGGGCCAGGGTTCGAGAGCCCTGGGCCCGCCCCACTGAAGGAGCTCTGGGAACAATGGGCCAGCTGTCCGCCCTGTGGTGTGCCCATCGCAGCCTCACCTGTCCTTGTGGCACAGAGCTGAAGCCCAGGTCCCGGTAGGAGATGAGGGAGTTCTTCATGGTGTTCACGGTGAAGCCGTAGAAGGAAGTCTTGGTGCCCACGTCGCGCTCGAAGCCTTTGATCACAGCACCGTTGAGCCTGGTTCGGACGGAGGCCTGCTGGTGTCTGGGTACTCCATGTGTGCTTTGCCTGTCCCCAGGCCTCTGGAAAGACCACTCTGCCCATGGTGGCACCACTGCCTGCTGGCCAGCCCAGACCTCAGGCCTCAGGGAGGCCCTGTAAATGGCGGCTCCTCCCTCCCGGGTGCCTTACTCTGTCCTCGCGGCTGTTTGCTCGTGCCCCGTGGATGCCCGTGTGCCCATCAATCACTGCACTGCCATGGCGGTGCTGCCTCAGCCCACTCCCCAGGGAAGGTCCCCGAGGTGGGCGGGGGACAGCTCTGTGCCCGGCTCTTGTCCCCCTCGTACCTGAACACGTAGTCATGGCTGTCGATGTTCAGGCCCTGGCGGGACCCGTTGAGGATGCCCCCATTGCCCACCACGGCACACCGAATGCAGGTGTGGGGGTGCTCCCTAGAACTGGCAAACAGCCCGGCGCTCTCAGAGTCGTTCAGGAGGCTCAGGGTGGAGGTGATCACTGGGTGCAAGAAGGGGAGCCCTGAGGAGCACTGGGGGCAGCAGCACGGGGCCTTCGAGGCTGGCTTTGGCTGCTGGCCCTGCTGCCCCTCCCGAAGCCCTGGAGTAGAGGGGAGGGTGCACTCAGCAGGGAGAGAGCTGAAGATGTGGGGGCGAGGAGGGGGACCTTGGCCGGCCTTAAGTGGCGTTAAGAACTCCAATAACTAGTGCTCTCAAGAGTTGGCCATTCCAAAAGAATTTGAGGCATGCAAGCGTGGGTTGGGGTGCAGGCTCTGGGTGCAAAGGGTGGTGGTTCCAGTTCTGCAGCAGCAACGGGGAGTGGGGCTGGACCCTGCGGCCTGTCCTTGGCCACTGCTGGGCTAGACCTTGGAGCCTTTTACACCAGGGAGACCCCAGGAAGTTGCTGGTGGAGGCAGCCCCGGCCCTCAACTGACCCATGGGAGCTCGACAGAGGGGAGGTAGGCAGGACTCACAGTGGGGGCCTGGGCTACTCCAGGGCACAGGTGGGCCAGAGGCCATGGGTTACCTTGGTGAGAGAGCCCCTGCCAGCCATAGGGGGCTTTGCGTTGGCTCAGGCTGTCCCAGAGCTCTGGGGTGAAAAGGCCCCCCCAAAGCAACACTGGAGTGGAAAGGTCAAACAGTCTCCGGAAGCGGGGGTGCCGCTGAATGGCTGGGTAAAGTGGGCGGCAGGGCCGGCTCTGTGGGTGAGAAGAGAGGGCTGAGCCCACAGACCACAGGAGAGTCAGCATGAAAGTTGCCCTTCCCCCTCCAGGCTGGATCGGCTGGTTCCGTGAGCTGAGCTGGCCTGTGGTCTAGCAGCCCAGTGGGATCAGGGAACTTTCTAGAACTAGCCTGGCCCACCCTTCCTCTCCTGGATGCCACGGCTCCATGGTCTGATGCTCTGGCCTCAGACTCCTTGGTCTCACGCTTGGGCAAACACGTTGGGGCAGTTTCCAGTGAAGCGTCCGAGCCGCCTGCTCCATCGCCCCATCACTGGAGGAGCTGTGGTCCGGGTCTAGGGGCCCGTCAGCCCGGATCCCGTGAGGACGCTGGGCGTGCTCGCTTGAGATTCGCGTGGAAGGGCGGCAGGGAAGACCTATGACGGTCTTTCTTCTTGTGGGTGCCACACCAGGTTGAACGGTATCCTCCTCCCATTCATGTTCACCCTGATCATCAGAAGGTCACCTTAGTTAGAAACAGGGTCTTTGCAGATTAGCTGGTGAGATAAGGTCACGTGGGGGTATCCTTGCAAGGAGGCCGCGTGGAGGCACCTAGAGAAGGCCACGAGGTCACAGAGGCCAAGACTGCAGTGATGCTGCTGCAAGCCAAGGGACAGCAGGAGCCGCCAGGGGCCGGGACAAGGCACAGGGTGGGCGGAGACCTGGCTTAGAGCCCTCAGAGGAGGATGCCTTGCCCGTAGTGGGCCCTGACTTCTAGCCCCAGCCCCATTGGGGAATCAGTTCCTTCTGTTTTGAGCCACGTCTGTGGTTACTCACCCCAGCAACCAGAGGAAACAAGAGCCCCTCTGCACCCCGGCCTTAGGTGGGGAGCGAGGCCCTGAGCAGGCCCACTCTGTATGGCTGCCCTGCCTCCGTGCCGGAACCTCCCAGAGCTGTGGTCTCAGTTCAGCTGCTGTCACGACCAGACAGAGCACTTTATTAAGTGCAAAAGTCAAAGCAGGAAATAGCTGTGCAGTCACTTGTCCTATAACGTGACATGTGAACGCCTACAAGCCACTGCATTGTGCTCACTGCTCAGTGAACGGCACAGGCTTCTGGGAAGCGGGATGAGGGGCACTCAGAAGCTTCATCAGTGGTGCATGGAGCTAAAGATGGGGGCCCGAGAGACAGAAATGCAGCTCTGTGCATGTTCCAGGACTGAGAGATACACAAATGCTACTAGAAACGTTTTTTTTTTTTTCTTTTAAGAGAGATTTTTTGCTATAGGGTGAGTGCACTCACCAGAGAGAAAGAGAGAGACAGAGAGACAGAAAGCGAGAAATCACCCCCCCAGGGGGATGGCCATGTGGCAATCCCTTCTCCTCCATTCTCTCAGGATCTTGGGCATGCATGCCCATGTGCCCCACATGAGTTTTAAGCCGCCAGGTCCGTGACTCAAACCATGGTCGACTACATGGTAGTCCAGTGAGGTAACCATCACTCCATCTGCTCATTACTCCATCTGCTCATCGGCCCTCCTTTTAGTTTTCAAAAGACTTGAGGTGGGGCCAGCAGGTGGCATGGTGATTAGGCACTGGACTCCCACATGGCCAATTGTAGTTCGAGTCTCAGACCTGGCAGCTTGAAAATCACTCCAGGCATATGTGTATGTATGCCCAAAATCCAGTTGGAGAATGGAGGAGAAGGGATTGCAGAGTGGCCATTCCCCCCAGGGGGGTGATCTCTCACTTTCCCTCTCTCTGTCTCTTTCTGTCTCCAGTGAAGGCACACGCTCTAAGGCAGAAACCTGAGGCGGGGGGGGGGGGAAAGACTTGAGGTTTTCATGTGGATTTTGGCAGGGTGGCAGCTTGTGAGTCACTAGGAAATGGTGGAAGGGAGTTGGCTGAAGTGGCTCAGGTCCAAGCGCCCATAACAAACATGGTGAGGCCGATGGGCATCACAAGGTTGCCTACGTGGCTTGGTCTATGCCTGCCTAGAGCTCTCACTGACAAGTGAGTCAGAAGCAAACATGAAATGTGTGTGATGCTCAAGGAGTTTCCTAGTAGGTCAGTCTGTCGGGTTGTCAGAAAAGTCCTAACATATGTTTTCTATGCAAACATGCATCATGACTTTCACAACCACCCAATAATTGGAAATTCACATTTTAAAAATATTATTATTTTGGATAGGTTTTTGCTATCAGGCGCGTGTGCTCACTAGAAAGACAGAGAAAGACAGAGAGATAGAAAGCAAGAAGTCAACCCCCCAGGAGATGGCCACACCGCAATCTCTTCTCCATTCTCCTCTCCGGATCTTGGGAATGCACACACATGTGCCCGGCGTGAGTTTAAGCCATTGGGTCCAGGACTCAAACCGTGGTTAACAACATGGAAGTCCAACGACGTAGCTGTTACACCATCTGCTGGTCCCTTTAATCTTATTTTTAAATATATTCTTTTTTCTTTTTAATTTTGCCAAAAGGCATGTGTGCTTGCCAGAGATGACAGTGACAAATGGAGAGGGAGAGAGCCCCCCAGTGGGGCGCTGTCATGCCACAATCCATTTCCCCACCTTGAGTATGATATACATGTGCCTGGTGTGTTTTTCAGCAGCTGGGATTTGAACTGCTGGATTGGCCATGCGGATTCTGACTTCCTTAACCATTAGGCTGTGGGGCCAGCTCCAAATTCATGATTCAAAGCAAACATTATGGCAGAACTGACTGTAATAATTTCACTATTTAATTTATTGTTATATCATTTTGTTTTTTAAGAGAGATTTTTGCTATAAGGCACGCATGTTCTCTGGAGAGACAGAGACAGAAGCGAGAAATCACCCCTGGGTGGACAACCATGCCACAATCCCTTTTCTCCGTTTTCCTCTCAGGATTTTGGACATGCATGCACACCCAGCATGAGTTTTAAACTGCCTGGTCCAGGACTTGAACTGCAGTCGACTATGTGGGAGTCTAGCAAAGTAACTGCTATGCCATCTGCTGGTCCCACACTATTTAACCTATCATAGGAGTAATAAATAGGGCCCTCTTTCCAAGGCTTTAGGAGGCAAGTCTTCAGGTCTCCCTATCAAGAAAGGCTGCACTTCACTTGGACAGCTGGCTTGCTTTATCTCATGGACATGAGATAGGTGGCCAAGTTTCCTTCTCAGCTCTGGCCACCAGGAAGCTCAGGACCAGCTCTAGGGCTCGTCCCTTCCGCCTCGGGGCATGCCAGTCATGCACTTACCTGACTGTTTTCTTTTCCTACCTTTAGTTTGCCTTTATTTGTCTCATTTTGTTCTATTTTATGTTTTTGCTTATGTCTCATTTACCCCGAAGCCACCTGGAAGCCTTCGCTTTAAGCCAGGTAGGGATATGTGTCAGTTAGCAGCTCGTGGGTCAAAGGACTTCGGGAAACTTAGAGGTGACCTAGTCCATTCACATGCATGAGATCCCCCCCTCAAGCCTTGCCTTGGTGTCTGCCGACAGGTCTCAGTGTCTTAGCCACTGAAAACGCTAAGCCTAAGTCAGTCCAGAACCAGCGTTCATCCGCGGCAGCGGAGCCGGGATGGGGAGGGAAGTGGGAGCTCTGTGTGGGACAAGGTTCAGAGCCAGGTCTGGGAGCACACCGAGGCTTAGGTCCTGGGAGCACTGCACGCTGCCCGGACAATCCTTAGCAAGGCTCCTCACTTCTCTGGACCCCATTCTGTCACCTACAAGAGCAACCCCCAGAGCTACGGTGAGACTTCCCTAGACAAAGTACATAAAGGGGTCTGTGGCATGGGGGACACCCACAGTCACCGCTGGCTGTCACTGACAGCATGGAGCAGGGCCCCAAAAGTTCTCAAGCCTTCTAGGCAAACATGGAGTGTTTTCCCAGGACATGGATTCTCTCCGTGGGGAGCAGCTGAATGGGAGGAGTGGGGATCTTTAACACCCAATCAAAATCTGGACCCCAAGAACTTTTCAGCTGGTGACATCCCAGGGGACACATTCACTCATCCCCCTCTGCTACCGGAGCACAGGAAACTAGCGATCAGGTTCGAGAATCCCTGGCCCGACAGGTGCTCGGCTCTGGGCTTGGGGTGTCAAGAGCTCACCCCAGCTATCACACGAGAATGTTCTTGTTTTTTTTTCCTTTCCCCACTCCACGCTGAGAATACTCAAAACTGCCACAGGGTAGCCGGCCACTGTACCTTTTTTGTCCCGGAGTTTGATGCCTTGGGTTGAAAGAATGCTCGAGATGACGTGGCGTCCCTAGAGGAGAAGGCAGAAGTAGGGTGACTTGGTTGGACCCCATCAGCAGGTTTAAACTGCCCCTGGGAGTTTCCAGACAGAGTCCAGTAGCTCCAGTGGCTGACAACGTCCATCGGGTCCGTTTTCGTTGCTGTTTAGTTTTTTCTCTAGGGAGCATGTGCTCTCCAGAGGAGTACGAGAGAGAGGGGAGGTGAGAACTCCTCGGGGATGGCTCCGCCACTCTCCTCGGGACGTGGGGCGCGCTTGCACAGACACAGTGCATTTTCCAAGCTGCCGGGCCCGGGACTGGGGCCATGCACTCGGCATGTGAGAGCCGCTCACTTCAACCACCGCGCCACCCGGCTGGCCCAGCCTGTCCGTTCTTTTGATCCTTCTTCTATGCTCTTGTCTCACCCTTGTCTCGCTCTTTAGCACGCAAAATACTGCCACTTCGTTATATCCTGCCCAGAAATCAAGACTTCCTCAGCAACTGGAATCGACAGGAATAGTGACTGTGGCTAAAATAAGAAAATAGAGGGCCAGCAGGTGGCATGGTTGTTTAGGTACTGGAGTCCCATATGGCTGACCACAGTTCAAGTCCTGGACCTGGTGGCTTGAAACTGATGCCAGGTACATGTGCGTGTGTGCCCAGATCCCAGGATGAGGATGAGAAGGGATTCTGGCATGGCCATTCCCCCCGACAGGGGGATTTCTCACTTCTCTCTCTCTCTCCAGTGAGAGCATGTGCCTTATGGCAAAATCTTTAAAAAAAGAAAATAAAAACTAGGAAGATTGCCATCCCTCCGGAATTATGACTGAGAGCTTCCCTGCCAAAGGCCCAGAGGTAGCCCCAGGTCTGTGGTGAGTGGTACCCACCCCCCTTGCCTGCAGGCGGGCCATGCCCACCGCTCCTGTCGTGAGTCTGGTAAGGGCATGGCTTTGGAACTGAACCCTGGCTCATATCCTGGTTCTGCCGATTGCCAGGCAGTTACTGAACTCCCTGTACAAGTACAGTCAGGCTGAGCTCATCAATTGCTGGGAGTGTCAGCTGTCCTCACCTAAAGGAGGAAGGGGGGGGACCTTCTAGGTCAGCCTCTATTCTTAGTGTCCTTTTGGGAGAGCTAAGGGGCTACGTCCCGTCCCCCAAATCCCAGGCAGAGGTGGGGCCTACATCAGGGCAGAAGGAAAACAGGCAGGAAGAAATGGAGATCCTTGCCCATTCAAAAGGGTAGTCAGGCACCCCTGGCCCCTCCCTTCGCTGGACAGCCACAAAAGAGCCCGTGCGGACTGAGGATGGCCCTGTGCAAAGGAAACAATGGCTTCTTGTCACTTGCTTCTAGGTGCTGGGACAGTTGAGCCACTGGGAGCCTGTGACCCACCCCCCTCAGGTTTCCCAGGTCTCCAGTAACACCCTGGAGGGACAGCCCAGAAAGAGCAGGATTTTTCCTTCCTCTCTCGTCCACACTCATAATCCTGCAGCCCCCTGTGAGCAAGGCATAACTACCTGCTGGGGGGACTGGGCGAGGGGCTCCACCTGGGCCGCCCCAGGGGAGTTTGGGAACCTGAAATTCTGATCCATTGGCCTGGGAGGGATGTGGGCGTCAATTACAATCCCTCACCCCATCCCCATGAGATGCTTCTCATGTGGCCAGGCTTGAGAACCTGCTGGAGGAACAGCTGAACCAGGCAGAACTGAGATGGAGGGGGAGAGGGCACGGAGGTGATGGGCACACCCCTCCTGAGGTTATGGTTAGGGTGTGGGCCCAAGATAGATTCTCGAAATGGCTAAGTTTTCAGATGGAGGCAGTGATGGCTCAGTGATCGACCTAGACATAAAACAAAGGCTTTTTCTAGGCCCCACCACATTCCAGGAAGGTAAGATCATGGTTTTCTTGGCCCGAAGCTTCTAGACACAGGATCTCCTGACCTTGGTACCCACTCCAAAATTAGGAAAATAACTGGACCCATCCAGCATGTGTCCCTCTTCACCAGGAGGAAGATGCATGCCCAAGTCCCACCGAAAACAAGTCTGGACAAATCCCTTCCTGACCCAAATAAAAGCCCCTTGCCAAGGTTCTTCCTGGGCAACCCATTTTCCGGGACCCCTCCCTTCTTGGGAGCTGTTTTTCCTTTCCTCCCTCTCTTTTTTTTTTTTTTGAGAGGTTTTTGCTATAGGGCGTGTGCGCTCGCCAGACAGACAGAGAGAGACAGAGAGACAGAAAGCGAGAAATCACTCCCCAGGGGGGATGGTCACACCGCAATTCCTTCTCCTCCATTCTCCTCTCGGGATCTTGGGCATGCACGCACACGCGCCCGGCATGAGTTCTAAGCCACCGGGTCCAGGACGCGAACCGAGGTTGACTATGTGGGAGTCCAGCGATATAGCCATTACGCTAACTGCTGGTTCCCCCTTTCCTCTCTTTTAATAAGCTCCCGGCTCTGCTCTACCTACTCTGTGTCTGCGACTAATTTTTCCTGAGTATGGTACAAAAACCCGTGTCTGGCTTCGAGTGTGGGCCGGATCAGCCCTGCGCCCCGCACTCCTGCGTCACTCCCCCTCGGCGCGTTGCTCCTCTGCTGGCCTGGGCAGGCCAGACACGGATCCAGCAGTCCGCCCAGTCATGACTTCTCAGGAATCCGGGGCTGCCAGATACCTGCCTGGGGCTCCTGGAAAGGAATGAGGAAGGGGGCCAGCCAAGCCATGCAGTTCTGAGAAGTTTCATCAGCCTAAGTGAGGCAGAAGCACCTCCATTTTTAATTCCCCTCCATACTGGAAACTTGCTTTCTCCTTTTGCCGAACATTCCTACTGTCTTTGCTAAATAATCCAGGCCCCCCAAGCGATGTAATACTTGCCAAACTCCTTACCCTGAGCCATGAAGACCGTTAAAATTCCATCGTGTTTGTGTAAGGGCTAGAAAGTCCCCAACCCTAAAGATGCCCCAGGCAACAGTGCTTAATTTTGCTTCTGTACTAAAGCTTGAGCAAGGTCCCTCCTTCCCCTTGTCACTTCCCGCTCCTCAACGGCTACTGCTCCTGCCCCGTCAACCCTAATGTGGTTTTTGCCTTTCTAAGCCCCCTTCTCCCTACACTTGGGGTCGCAGGGTCTTTGAGAGCCATAAGCCCTCCCGCAGTGGCTGGCCTATTAATAAAGAACTCCTATAATGTGGCTTTTTGTCTGGGTGTCCTCTGTCTCTCGTCGACTATGACATGAGGAGGAGGAAGGACAATGCCGTTCATTCAGTCCTGAAACTAAACTTACTCAAGTTAGATGATAATTTGAATAATTTTTGGCACTAAACATCTCTCCTCCCCACCCAGTTTGCTATAGGGCTTGCACATTTCCTAGAGAATGCTGGGGCGGGGAGGTGGGGTGGGGAGGATGGCCACACCACAATCCCTTCTCCATTCTCCCACCAGGATTTTGGGCATGTGCAAGGTGTGTATTTCAAGCCACCAGGTCTGGAACTTGAACTGTGTGATTAGTCATGTGAGACCACCTACCTCAACCACTATGCCACAGTCTGGCCCTAAAAATGTCCTTTTTATCTTGTTTTTGTTTATTTATTTATTTATTTTGAGAGGTTTTTCCATAGGGCACATGCACTCACCAGAAAGACAGAGACAGAGAGACAGAAAGTGAGAAATCACCCCCCAGGGGAATGGCCATGCGGCAATTCCTTCTCCTCCATTCTCCTCTTGGGATCTTGGGCACGCAGGCACACGCACCCAGCGCGAATTTAGGCCATCGGGTCCGGGACTTGAACTGCAGTCGGCTATGTGGGAGTTCAGCGACATAGCCATTACGCTAACTGCTGGTCCCCCAAAATGTCCTTTTTAAACAAAATAATGTTGCCAGTAGATGGTTACTGTAGTCCAGGTTGACCCTCACACCCTCCTCTATTTAAAAAAAAAAAAAAGTTTTTTTTTGGGGGGGGGCAGAGAACTGGCAGGTGGCATGCTGGTTAAGATACTGACTCCCACATGGCCAACTGTGGTTCGAGTCCCAGACCTGGCATCTTTTCACTTTCCCTCTCTCTCTACTCAAATTAAAAAATAATAAATAAAATTAAAGAAATAATTCTTTTTTTTTTTTTTAAAGGTGGTTTTGTTTGTTTACAGGTCTAGAAATCCACTTCTGGGAGCACTCATCCAGGTCCTTCCATTAGTAAAACCAGCCAGCACTGAGAGAGCCCTCTCCTGGGGCTCCATTGACCCCGTCCCAGCAGTTCCTGGACCGCCCGGCTGCTGTAGCCAGCTGTTTGCATTCCGAATGGGGACGGTCACACAACCTGCTGGCCCTGCCCCAGATGGCGCCAACGCTTCCTACTACCTCTTCTCCCCACCAGGCAATGAGGCAGTCCTGCCCTGTGCCTGCGGACTTAAGCCACAGAGTAAGGCCTACCAAGAAATAACAAGGAAATGAACAGGTGCGGAGTCCTACCACAGTTTGAAAAGAAGGAAGAGCTAAGAACAAGTTTCCTTGAGGTCAGTGGACGTGCAAGGAGTCTCACCTTCAAAGTTGCTTCAGACACCGTAAAAGGATGTTCACTGTGAACAGGGCTCCGTTCTCAAGGCCTCCCACCCTTCTCAGCCCTGATTATGCAGTTTCTGTGCAAGGAGAGGCACCCCAGGTAGCCACCGCTAGGGCATCGTTTGCATCGTTTGCAGACGGGTTCAGACGTTTGCAAATGTGTTTCATACTGTTTTACCGTTTTGGCTGTGTCCTTTGACCTTCCTTCCTGAAGCAATACTAGTCGTGTTTTCCTCCCTTAGCGCGTCTGCAAGGTTTGCTGAGGGGGGCACAGGTGGAAAGGTCCAGGAAGGGAAAGGCTAAGCTGGGAGGCCGCTGCCCAGGTTTTCCCAACCCACACCTGCCCAGCGCGGTCTGCCTCCCGGAAAAGGAGCTGAATGGTGTGAAGGCGTCTGGCCCCCCAGCCACCGCCTTCAAGGGCGGCTCTCGGGTTTCTTCCTGAGGGGCGCAAAGGAAGGGAAGGTGCCAGGGCAGCGGGAGGGAGCGGAGCGCTGCAGGAGGCGCGGGGAGGGGAGCTGGGCTGGAATTCAGAGTGGGCCCGGGTTTCTCCCTCGCGCCCAGGCGGTGCTTATCAAAATAACAGCCGAGCAAACAGAGGCGGGGAGAGGAGGGCGCCGGCGCCAGGAGGGCAGAGACCGGAGCCTCCGGCCAGGCCAAGGGCCACCGTCCCCTGACAAAGCCGGAGTAGCTGGGAACCGGGCCCTGTGGGTCTCTGCCCCAGAGGAGTCTGAAAAGGCGAGACGTTTCCGAGGGAGCGTTCCCACAGAACCGGAGCGGTGTTCCCCCGACTCAGCCGTCCCAGCCACACCGCAGCAGGAGAGTGTCTCCCAACCGTCCCGGAGGGAGCTAGCCGGCGAGGGTGTCGGGGCGAGTCGCCTGCGCGCTGCGGGCGAGGGCCCCCTTACACCCGGGCAGAGGCCGTGGGCCCGGGCACCGCGAGGCTCACGCGGGGTTCTGGCTCAGGGGGGCGAAGGCCGCGGCCGAGTCCCGGCTGCGAACCACCGGGAGCGGCCGGGTGGGCGGGGAGGGCGGGCGGG